AATAAAATTGTTATTTACATGTGTCAAATTTATAATACATATGTTTATATTTATACTTCTGCTATATCGATATAAAGTAATCATACAGAGTTGTTAGTGATGAAAGCATATCCTAATCATTTGTACATTATCTGGTTCATTATTATAAAATATTTTTAGTTGGCTGAGCCCATCGAGTTCAACACAAAGCAAAAGCCAATTAAGCTACCAAAAACGGATTTGGAGAAGAATGACGATGTTACAACAGTAGCTTGGGGTTCTACAGGTTTCAAAGAAAATGTACACGACGACTTGCAGAAATTGAAGGCTCAAGTCATGCTTGCGAAGGACTGTCAAATTTATCATACTTTTATGCGCATTCATTCGCAGGAGTTTTGTACCTTCATCAAAGTCGGAACTGGAGCGTGCAATGTATGTAGCATTATTATAGCGTCAGAATCATTTTATTGCACGTTTTTTTAGACTTAATGTTCTCTATTTTATGTGTGCAGATTTCTGGCACATATTCTTCAAAATTATTCTTATTCAATATAATCTGTCTTATAATTTCGGATCTTGTTTAAGATAATGTACATTAGAATAATGTATAGAATAATTCATGTAATAATTCATTCTGTAATAGCATTATTTTTCAAATCATATAATTCTTATATGACTCATTATATAGTCTCTTTAGCGCCATAATTATGCATAAAAATGATAATGTTAAGTTATTGGAATTCTGCTGTTTAAAGTAATGCCAAGGTTTTATTCGGTATAATGTGCAAGATATTATCAATTCTAATTACGTAAAAAATGGTAATAATCTCCTTTTTTTTTTATTACAGGGTGACAGTGGTAGCGGAATAATTCGAAACAGTGACAATACGCTTGTAGGGCTGATATCTGGTGGTATGCCATGTGCCCGTGGTTATCCAGATGTATATACCACTATCTATCCCTATAAATCTTGGATTGAAGAAATAATGTCCAAATAGTATCGTTTCCTGTATATTATTAAAATTTAATAAAAGTTATGAAGCAAATATAGCATCTATTACATATTATTAATGTATATTACTATCATGATAATTCTCGCATAGTGTTTCGCACAGTGAATTTTACAATATAAATCATTTGTTATAATAACAGTAGTGTGTGTGTGTGTGTGTGTGTGTGTAGTAACT